TCAATATTATATATATATATATTTTGCTTTTAGATGATATTTCATAATATTTTATGTAATAATATCAAATATGATTTTTTGGTATATTCATTTTTTTAATAAAATTTAAAGTTTTTATTAGATAAAATTTTTCATAATTCTCTTGTGGTTTCGAAATTCAGCGGAAAATTTCTATATACTTTAAAAATTGCGTGACACCCTTTATATTTTCAAATATACTCATAATTGTAGTTTCGTAAGGGATGACTAGGTGGTGTGGGGTTGGATGTGTGACCATGAGAGTCATGGGTTCAAACTCCAACACCTTAGATCATACATTTAGATTGTATTTTTTATAGTTGATATAATTAAGTTCAATATTATATAATAATTTTTATTAATTCAAACTCCAACACCTTAGATCATACATTTAGATTGTATTTTCTATAGTTGATATAATTAAGTTCAATATTATATAATAATTTTTATTAATTCAAACTCCAACACCTTAGATCATACATTTAGATTGTATTTTCTATAGTTAATATAATTAAGTTCAATATTATATAATAATTTTTATTTTAATAATTTAAATAGATAATTATGTTTAAGATTTATTTTTATGTGAGATACAGAGAATTGTAACGTTAATATAAAAAATAATATTTTATATTGAATGTTAATTTTATGAGTTAATAATATACATATATTAAGAATTGTGTCAGAAAAAAATTGGGCAAACAAACCCTTAGATTTATATATATTTGGTATGTTTATTTTGTAAAATGGTTTGAATGAATTTTTCTTCTTTTTTTTTTATGTATAGATATAGATACAGAGAATTATGTAGGTAATATAAAAATAATGAATGTTTTGTAGTATTAATTCTTTTAGAAAAATATGCATTTTGTTTTGTAAAAAAGAAAAAATCTATAATTATTTGTGATTCTAATAAAATAGGTACAAATTTAAATCTATATATTTTCAAATTTATTTTTACTTATATTATCAATATATTATTCATTTCTAAAATTTAAGATTTTATTTATTTTGCAATACTTTTTTGTATTTTTATTATAAAATTTTTAATAAAAATATATTACATTATATATTAAATTATTATTTTAAAAAATCTCAGATCAGACATATTATAATATTTTTTTAAATTTAAATAAATTTCAATTTTTAAATACCAAGTAATTTGTATTTTATTTTTAAGATTTTTATATTAATTCTAACAAAATTTTTAATAACTTTTTTTTAAAAAAAAGAATTTTAAATTTAAGATATCTATTATAAATATAATTTATAACTTAAAATTTATATTAATTATTATATATTTAATAATAATGTACATGTATGTGCATACGAGTATTACGATATAAAAACACCCAAAAAAAATTTAATTGAAAAAATTAATTTTTGTCCCAATATAACAAAAATTTATCAATTTTGGTCTAAATATAAAAAAAAAATTCATCAATTCTAGTTTTATTATAAACAATTTCAATCAATTTTGGTCATATTATAAACAATTTCATTCAATTTTAGTCCCACCGTTAAAAACTAACGGAAATAGCTGACGTGAATGTAACATAATTGACGTGTCAACTGATCTACAAAGTACACGGTCATATACAATTATACACGGCCATGTATATTTTAGTATACAATTATATACGACCATGTTTAATTCTAGACCGTTGTGTACTTTTCCTGTTTTAATCTAAAATTTTATTTTTTTGTTTTATTTTTTTAAAAAAATATTTTGAATTTAGAATAGTTGATATAGTTAAAATAGAAAAGATCAATAAAATTTTGTATAAATTTTTATATTTGAATTAAAATTGATACTTTTTCATTATATTATTACTATTGATTTTTTTTTATTTTAACTACATCAACTATTCTAAATTCAAAATATTTTTTTTAAAAAATATAACAAAAAATAAAATTTTAGACCAAAACAGAAAAATACACGGCCGTGTAGAATTAGACATAGTTGTGTAATAACATGGCCATGTATAATTGTATACTAAAATATACATGGCCGTGTGTCACGTCAATCCCGTTACGTCCACGTCAGTCATTTCCGTTAGTTTGTTAACTGTGGGACTAAAATTAATTGAAATTGTTTATAATGGTACTAAAATTAATGAGATTTTTATATTGGGACCAAAATTGATAAAAAAAAATTTATATTGTAACCAAAATTGATTTTTTCCTTTTTTTTATTTTTAGAAAGTATTATTTTTTTATTTTTTGTATTTTTAACATACTTTCACTTATCGATAAAAATATTACTATTTTTCAATCATTAAAAAACAAAAAAAATACTCATTCGACCTTGAGGGTCACATTTATCTTTTATGTCATTATACTTAACATTAAAAATATTCTTATATTTATATAATTTTTTGTATAAATGTCCTTCTATTAGCATTATAAGACAATAATGGAAGCATTTTTTCAAATTTTTCTTAATTTATATTACGTTTTGATATAATAATTAATATTTAAAGATTAATAAGTAAAAAAATAAATGAGACCTTAAAGCCAACCCAAGATAGTATTATATTAAAACAAAAGAATATTATTTTATTTTTAAAAATATTAAATTAAAATATTATTCAAACGAAATTTAAAATGCAAATTCAAAGTCAAATTAAACCCAAGCAAAGCTCGTTTAATCTTTCCACAATTGCAATAAATTTTTAATTCATATTTTTAACATAAATATATCATTTTATTTTATAAATAATAACAAAAATTCATCTAAAATACTTACAAAAACCTTTCACAATTTTTAATATTTAATTATAAAATATAACTATCTCTAAAACATTAAAACAATATAGGAAAGAAATCCAACACTCTCAATAAAAACAAAAATAATAAATTACCGTCCTATTATAATTTTTTTTTATCAATTTTAATTCTAATATAAAAATTTTTAATCATATTTTATTCTACTGTTACCAAAACTACGGCGACAACCCCTGCAAGCACGTTTGTCGGCAGCCGTCCTCCCCACTTTCAGCAAATTGTCATTCTATTCCGTTTACAAGGGTTATTTTTTTTCACATATTCGACCAATTTTTATATCATTTCCTACCAAATTTTCAAAATAAATTTATATATCTGTCCATGCAACTTACTACAATTTTATTTACTTCCCCTAAATTACAATTCAAACCATATTTATATTCATTGTATATGTAATTATTCCATAACAGCATAGCAATTGGTTACTAATGAACTAATCCATCACAAATCTATAGTAAAGAATATTCTTTATAGAAAAATATCATGCCAAATTTTATTTATTAAAAAATATCAAACGTGTTTCGTTAGTGATATTTTTTGGAATGGTAATGTGTTTTGATTTGTGTTTATCACACACGCATATATATATATATATATATATATATTATTCCCAAATATATTACACAAAATTATATATATATATAATATATAATACTCATTTTGTCCACTATTCATTTACCTATTTTATTATTTTGATAAGTTCAAAATCAATCAATCTATTTTGTAGTCATTTAAATAAAACATACTTCTATTCTATTCTTATGTAGTATTACAAGAATGTCATAAAAAAAATATAAAAAAGTAAATAGGTTAGTAGGGATAGAAGAAAAAAGAGACTAGTGGATTAAAGAGTGTCTTTCTTTGAAATTTATGCTTAGAGTTATAAATTTTAATAAATATAATATTATTAATTTATTATGATATGAAATATAAATATTTTAAAAAAATTTATTTGTTGTTAATAAAATGAGAATTTTTTATTTTTTTTTTCAAAAGTGAATGTATAAATAATGATGACATATTTGTAAATAAATGTAACATTAAAATATAAATTAAAAAATATGTAAAAATTATTTATTATAAATAAAAATACTCAATAAAAAGATAGACATAAATTTTATAAACAGATAAAATACATACTAATAATAATCATAAAAACACACAAAACAACAATTCATATAATAATTTTACAATTTTGCATAACTCACAGAAAAAAAAAAAATCCAAATTTATAAAAATGATATGTTTATCCAACACAATTTTTTCAATATAATTTTCAATTAATATTATAGGAAAATATAAATATATATATTTACATAATATATACTATTTTCGTCCGGCTCGAAGAGTGTCATTTACTTTTTGAGTGTTGATCTTTAACTATTAATTATTATATCAAAATGTAGTACAAATTTCAAAAAAATTACAAAAATACTTCAATTAGTGTCTTATAATACTAATAGAAGAACATTTGTTTAAAAAGTTATCTACATATAAAGATATTTTTAACATGATGCAAAAATAATTGTAACCCTTAGAAGGAGGGTGGAGGGAGTTTTCTATACATTTTCAAAATTACTAATTTAAATCAAAATATTATTCATTCCGTCCCTTAATAAAATATTTATTTGCTTTTAATGTTATTATACTTAAAATTAAAAATATTCTTACATTTGAATAATAATTTGGTAAAAACTCATGTGTGATTTTGAAACTAACCTCCGTATATTTTCAGAAATATTAGCATGAAACTCTTCAGTGATTTCGAGACTCAACGTAAATCTTTATTTTACTTTAAAAATTAACCCATGTCATGCAAATAAAATATAGATAGAAAATCATGTTCACATCATACAATGAAGATTTCATGGTGGGTGGGGTTTCATGTAACATTTGTGAAAGTATAAGAGAGCGTTATACAATTTTTAAAATAAAAAATATTTTAAGTTGAATTTCGAAATTACATCAGAGTTATAAACAATTTTACCTTTTTTTTCTCTTAATTTTTACTGTATATAAATATAATATTAATATTTTTTTATAATAATGTCATGTTTTCATATCTAATACTATGAAACACCCTTCCAAACAAACATTGATTGAACCCAGACGAACTGTGAAAATACTATTACACCCTTCTACAGATTCACGTTCTGGCCCATGTCAATTTGTCCCATTAAGTGATATTTCCCAAAGATATTTACATACATTCATGCGTAAGCACGCTCGGTCGGTAATTGCCTTCTTCCATTCACCCACCGCCGCCGCCGCCGCCGCCGTCACCGTTTTGCAGGAAAAAAAGTTTGCACTCGTCTTCCTTTGCCCCAAAGCAAGTGAGGCGGGAAACGGAGCTCCGAGAACGTGAAGCCGAAGCCGTTTGGGGAAGGTGGCGGCAGTTTTCTCTAATTATTGTCTCTAGGGTTGTTATTGTTGTGCCATTGTACAATCGTAGGAAAGTAGAGTTGCGAATCGAGGGGGATGGCTCCTGTGCGTAGGCGTGGAGCGAAACGCGTCGAGAACAGGGAACAGTTAAATTTGGGCGATCTTGTTCTCGCCAAGATCAAGGGTTTTCCTGCTTGGCCTGCCAAGGTGAATTCTCGTGTACTCGGATGCTTTTATTGATTATTTGTACATTTATTTTTGTTTCCTTATGTCGATTCTCGGTGGAACTATGCTTGTGGAACTTATTTTAATCTGTTTGGAGTGAGTTCATTTCGTTTGCATTCATAGGAAATTGTCTGGTTGGTTTGAGTTTGTCAGTGTGATTGGGAACTATTAACAGAGGTGGATTGCGATTCTGAGAATCATGCATTTGCGTCTTCAAGTGATGAGAATCTAGTGTTTGAACTTTGAAAGTATTATTGCAAGACAAGAAGATCGATATAGAATCTTCAATTTTGCTTGTCCGACATGAGGGGTGGGAATGGGGAGGGTTGGCACTTGGTTGTTTAGAAAGAGAAGGCTCAGTATAGTTTAACCAAAATTATGTTGGGGTCAGCATGCCAGCATGTGCCAGTCTTGCTAATATTCATTGCTCTTTCTTTTTTTGTGCCATGATGCAAGCTTCTGAAATTCATTCCTATCTGTCGAAAGAATATAAGCTAGATTCGCTTTGACGGTGGCTGTTATTTATACCTTTTTTTGCCGCATGCTCTATTTTATTAACGTTTTTTAACTCATGGAATAATTAGCTTGGATTATACTGTCTTGGCTTTTCAACTATGTTACCATCACTGATCAGCTGTTTGCAAATTGAATTAATGGTTAATAGCATTGAATTCCAGATTAGCAGACCTGAAGACTGGAAACATGTGCCAGACCCCAAAAAGTACTTCGTCCAGTTTTTTGGGACATTAGAAATGTAAGGGCTTTTTAATTTTCTATCTATGCAAAAACACATTTATTGTTCTTCCATGTCAGCTGATTATTAATCTACAATATGGCTATTAATTCGTGAGAGGAGTATCATGGATAGCTGGAAAAATAAACCTGCATTGTGCTGGCGAGCAGTTGCTTTAATTTAGTAGTGGCTGGAGAAGAACTCATTTAGGGTCAGTTTGTCGGCATTTTAGGAGTGTATGAATTGTCATCCCTTACTGGGGATATTGTTAATTTCCTGCTTATATTTGATGAAGATGTTATAACTACGATTCACAAACAGTCTAATACTGTTAATTGAGAAGTCTGGGATATGTGGAGGATCCTGCCAGAATGAAGTGATCTTTAGATATACCCATTTGGCTCTCTTCACAGCTATTTGATACTGTTTATCGGACCATCTGTATGCAGTTCCATTTTGATCTCTATTTAAATGTTGAATTCACTAGCTAGTGCCTGAACTTTATGATTGAGCAATTTATTCTGTTTTGTGGACCTTAAATAAGGTTGTTTGCTTAGCGATCCTTTTGATACATTTTCAACCATGAGTCACAAGATACCATAAATTTTCTATTGGTTTATGCATTTCTGAAGCTTTTTTTTTGTTTCTCTTGTTGACAAAATTAAAATAAGTAAAAAGGGAATTGCATTTTTGCTGTAAGTTGTGTATTCTGTTTCAGTATATTGGTAATGCCTTATTTGTATATGAAACTATTTCCTTTCTCTTGTTGTTAGAAATGAACAAGGGAAAATGATAAGTAAAATCTTGATGTGAATCCTGTACCACGGCGCCTTGATCTTGATCTTTCGACAACTTATGCTATCTATTTCTTTGAGCTTTCATGTGCTTTATTTGCAACTTGAGGTGCCAAATTTTCCCTGTCAATTATTTATCCACTAATTCGTTTATTATCTTCTTCCAACGAGGTTTGAAGGGTAGTTTTTCCCTTGACTTTATATAATAACCCTCTTGCATTGTCCCGTAAGAGATGGTTTGGTGGTGTGGGGGTGAACTTGTGATCGTGAGGTCACGGGTTCAAACCCAATGCCTCCAAGTCCACCTGCCACACATGGTTCGCCTAGTGTGATTCGCTTGCCTGGCCTGGTTTGCAGGATATTAGGTTCGGTTGAGGGTTTACCCAAAGTGCACCCGAAGGATAGCGGCTGTGGGTTCCTACATTATCAAGAAAAAGAAAAAAAAAACGAATTTAATACTTTCTTTGTTACTTCAAATCTATCATGTGCATGTGAAATTCAAAAGGTGGACTTATTTAACATGCTTCATGCATTGTTCACAAGATTCAATACTTCCCCTTGAATTTATTTAACAAGCTTCATTCACTGCTATCCATTTCTCATTGTATTAAGAATTTAATACTTTCTTTCCGATCAACAACAAAAGAAAAGAATTTAATACTTTCTCGTGTTACTTCAAATCTATCATGTGCATGCGAGTCGCAACATTCAGAAGGTGGATTTTGATATTATATTGCTTTTAATGTATTCCCAATACCTTGGATTGAGTATTGACCTTTGGGTTGTCCCTTGTTTAGTAATTATATGTAATGGCATTCCATTAATTGACCTAAGTTGTGATGATACATGACAAATGTCTCTGAGATGTTTGATTTATCGGGGGGTTTTTTTTTGTTATGTACAAATTATCTCTAATGCTCTATATATCCTCGTCCTCACGTGCTTTCTGTTTGCTCTAGAATGGATAAATATCTCTAGTAGATGAAATTGTTTAATTGTTTCTATTTTTTTCTCTGACAGAGCTTTTGTTGCTCCTGCTGATGTTCAGTTGTTCACTTGTGAATTAAAAGATAAATTGTCTATACGATGCCAAGGTAAGAAAGACAAATACTTTGCCCGAGCTGTTAAAGAAATATGTGAAGAATTTCAACAGTTGCAGCAGAAAAATGCAACTGTCGTTAGAAATGATGGAAGTAAAGAGACTCTTGCATCCGAGGAACAACAACTTAATTCAGCCGCAGAACATGATGGGGGCAATGGCACTGAAATGGAAGGATCGAAGGACAACTTGGAGATGGAGGGTTCAAATGGTCCGGCTTCTGAGTTGGAGCATTGTTTTCAAAGACAAAATGAGGTGAATTTTGAAGAAGTCAAGCCTTGCTTGTCAGATGAAGTCGATCCTGATGCAGTCCCAACTGCATCTTCTGGGAAGAACAGCAAGCTCTTGGCTGATCATGCCAGGAATTCAGCATCACTTCCTGATCCTTGTCTTAAGGAGCCATGTTCTGATGATTTCAAGGTGGAGGATGCATCTTGTGATTTTAGCCTGAAGGAATTGACTAGTGGAAACAAAAAAAAGGCAACAGGATTAAAGAAGAAACCTAAGGACGCAATGTGCAGCAATAGTGGTTCAAGTGGTCATTGTCATCAAGGAAAACATTCTTTAGGTTGTACCACAATGGTCTTATCTGCTGATATCTCAAGATCAGATATTGATGTTGGAGGTGAAAAGAAGGGGAAAGTAGATTTAGAGACCGAAACTGATGGTGGAGATAATTCTGAAGGAAATCTTGAGGAGCATAAAGAATCTACCTCAAGTAAACAAATGAATGCCAAACATGGTCAGGAAAAACAGAAGTCTCAGACAAAAGAATCCTCATTTCCTGGAAAATTATCAAAATGTGCTGATACTGTAAAGGACAAGGTTAAAGCGAATGAAAGCAGGAAAATTAATGCTAAAAGTCCTAATGTACTAGATGAAAAAATGACTAGTACAAAGTCTAAAAAATTAACATCGGCTGGTAAGTCTACAAATCGTTACCCCATCAGAGGGCGGGCCACAATTAATGAGTCAAACCATTCCAGTGATGAAGATGACCTCCCTCCATCTAAGCGTCATTGCCGCTCATTGGCGGAAACATCTAGTACTTCTGTTGCTGACAACAGACTGAAGAGTTCTGTATCTCAAAAAATTGACTCAGTTCTCCGTAAAAGTGCTCGATCCCCAGTTAAGCAGTTGCCAGCAAAGCGCAGAGCTGTCCGCCTATGTGATGATGAGGATGATGAATCACTGAAAACTCCAATTCATGGAAGACTTGCTAATAAGGTTTCTGTTGTTCCTTGTGCAGCAGATTCACCAGAAAAAGTCATAATGCATGTAGAGAATAATGTAGAGAATCAAAATATCTCTAGAAATCCAGGAGTAAGTGATGATTTCTTAAAAGAACAAGGAAAGCTTGATTGTGAATCCAATAAATCCTTATCACCAGCTGTGGGACAAGGAGTGGGACAGAAAACCAGAGAAATATCCTGTGCCAATGTTTGCCGTAGCCCACAGAAGTTAGAATCTGAGGAACTACCTTCCCTGGAAGCGATATCAGTTTTTATATCTCCTAAAGGATCCTCTCAATCTGTTAGTGATACGAGACTATATGGAGAAGAAAACAAGCGCTCTTGTGAGGTTCCTAAAAATGTTTCTCTGAAAAAAAATTCTGCCAGAGACAGCATAGGTGCTACAGCTTTTAATAGGTCTGTTACTCTTATTAATCAATCAGTAGATAAAAGAATCAAGTCAGCCTCAGTGGAGAAATGGAAAACTACTCCAAAGACAGATTTACTGATCAAAAGTCCTGGACTGGGCACAAAAAGTGAAAGCACTACATCTCTTGAAGAAAGGTAACTATCAACCTTGTGTTGTAATTTTATGATGATAACTCTTTTGTCACTGTTTCTTTTGTTTGAATTTGTAATTGCTCAGGCTGGATGATGATAAGGTTGATGAAACAAGCTTTCGTAGTGATTCTAAAGGATCAGGCTCTCCCCTGTCTATGAAACGTCTTATTGCTGCTGCTCAAGCAAGGAAAAGACAAGCACATTCACAGAGCACTTTGGAAAACTCCTTTGTGCATTTATTTCCTGAAATTGACATGCCTAGGACTGTACCAAATCCTATCCTATCTGAGCCAGGATTTGAATCAAGCAAGATGCTTCAGTTGGACATGCAAAGACTGTTTTCCACTTCTCCATTGCCCTATCTACATCAACTTTCATCTAGTAACCAGCAGGAGAATGAAGACCGTGAGAAGAGAAGGGTAAATTCAGATCATCAGGGCACTGGAAGTCCTGTAAGTGGTAGTATTGAAGCTGCTGGAGCTCGGGATGCCTTTGAAGGGATGATAGAAACATTGTCCAGGACCAAAGAGAGTATTGGACGTGCAACACGCCTTGCAATTGATTGTGCGAAGCGTGGGATCGCCAATGAGGTAGGTAGTATGTCTACCATATCACTTCCTTGCTTTAGAATACCTGTTAATGTATCAAATATTGTTATAGATTGTGATCTGCTAGCACAATGTCTTGAAATCATGCGTTAAAGTTTAATATCTTTAAGAGGGTTAATCTGGCATATCATAAGTTTCTATGTTAGTTTTATTATTTAATTATATTCAAATTAGTGGATTTCAGGTGCTGGGCCTGTGTGATAGCTTGACTATCACTGTTATTTTTCAATTTAAAGTTTTGTTAAACAAGTGTTTAAAGAGATGCAGTTTCTTGCTACAGTATATGTCTATAGTTTAGGAGTTTAATGAACTCTAATTGGATGCATATGACGTTGAAAACTTAACATATTTCTGATCATTTTATCACTTTCCATCTATCTTACATAAAATTGTGTCAGTTTTTACACACACATTGTTTTCCATATGCTAACATACCCCTAGATTTTGTTCATAGAAATTTCTCGTATGTGCCAAAATTTGCATTACGTCCATATGGAAATATAGATGTAATGTAAGTATGTCAATCTATTACAATGTTTTTTGGATTTGTTTGCACAGCACACAGGATCTTCATTATTGTCATAGTTATCACCATCTAAGGTTTTATTTGAACAAGGGCTCACTTGCATGGATCACATGTCACCATTGCTTATCTATTTTGGAGGTTAAGTTTCTGAAATAAGTGATCTTGAATTCAATCTAATATCCTAGCCCATAGAGTTATTTGTGAGGTTACTAAATATAAATCCTTCATGCTTCTATTCGTAAGAATTCATGGGTTACGGGAGTTGCTCAGTTGTGTTCTTTTTACTCATTTTTTTACTATTCAGTCTATCATTTTCTATCATATAAATTTTTATTCAAAAAATCACATCAAATAACCATTTTCACGTAAAAAATATCAAAATAATAACAAAACACAAGTGAACAAACCCCGTTTCTTTTATATTTTATTTTGGTAATTTATGTGGGTGAGCATATTAGACAAATAGAATTTTTTTTGGATTGGTACATATTTATGGGTATGAAATACTATGGGGTGTGTTTGTTTGTGGATTTGATTTTTCGGTTTGGATTTTTGAATAGTAAAAGTTTGAATTTGCATAGTTATATGATGTAATATAACTAGATGTTGATGTGATATTTTGAACGTAAATTTAATTTTTATTATAATATAAAAAATAAAAAATACTTGTTTAATTTAATATTTTTAAAGGGAAAAAATAAAATAAATAGTAAAAATATTATGAGAAATTCCCAAATAAACAGCCTATGATTTATAGTTAATTTTTTTAGGATTATGATTCACTTTTCATATTTGTGCCTTAAAAAATATATACTCCTTAATTCATGTTTTCCCTCAAGATCTCTTGATGAAAACCAGAGACTTACCCAAACAAAATCACATGTAAACCAAATGCAAAAGAAAAGTAAAGAATAGGTTGAATGGCTTCTGTGATAATGATTTTCAAATAAAAAGCCATAGTTTTAATGCCTGGAATCCACTGAATTAACCAGAATCTTCAGGACGAACTACAATCTACAGCATTTTATTGAGTAGCTATGAACCTAGATATAGATGCCCAATATTTTTGTAGAATCCACTCAAGCGACATTCTCAGTTTTTTGAAGAATTACATTCAACAAAGAATTTTCTCCAATCTTTTGAAAATTCATATAAATTAACCCCTATTTGCAAGTAGAATATTTGAACTCCACTTGAGTTATTTTTTAACTATTTGCAAGTAGAATAGTTGAACTCCACTTGAGTTATTTTTTAACTATTTGCAAGTAGAATAGTTGAACTCCACTTGAGTAATTTTTTCAACTTAACTTACAAGTTAAACCTCTCTATAGCCTGAAAATAATAATAATAAAAAATAATTTTCCCTCCATTCACAAATACATGTCCTTTAGGGCCCAAAAACCCTGGAAATTGTAAAAACCAGAGTAATTTTTGAATGACTAAAATGTCCTTTTTAGTACATAGCATTAATATTTTGAGAAATAATAAAAATAGAAAAGATAAAGATAAAGGTGGAAAAATATTAATGAATCTTAACAAAAAATCTCAAACCCAACATGCATTATTAAATGGAGGGAGTAGTTAATAGCTTGGATGAAGTTAAGAATAAAGGAAATCTATAACTCAGAATCATGATATATGCAAACTATTAATTAGTTGAAAGATTATTATTATTCTTTTGTTAACATGTCAAGATCCTAGCTCCATTTTATCACATGTGAAATGTAATCGCAAACTAAAGTTCAGGACTTTAGGTTGACATAAATAATAGTTGTTGCCCACATAAACATCTAATGATGACATGGTTTAGAGAATCCATGATTGTTCGCTACAGCATATGAGAAGTGGTCACTGCATACTATATGTCGAAAGAAAATTGTAAGCGATGCAGCATTTTCGTGAGGTTTTAATAACATAGGGAATGATTAGTGGAATAACATTTAAGTAGTCCTTTTGAGCAATATAATGAAGTTCCCCATGGGTAAAGTGTGAATAGCGCCAATGTGTTGACTTCAAAATATTTATCATGATTCAGATACAGTCATGCAGCTAGATTAGGATTTAATGTTTAGTAGCTTTGTATAATGATGGTAGTGTAAAAAGTTTAGGTAAGTTTGATTTCCATCTTATATACATCTTTGTATTATTAAGAGAAGAATATAAAAAACGTGACCAGTCTCTTATGGAAAGGAAAAATGAGTTGGGTTTGTGGAACTTTGATGTCCAAGATATAACTTGGTGCTTGAAATTGTTTAAATGGATTGGAGAACATTTTTCACCCAATAATTTTGGGTGACATAGTTCCCTATGAATATTACTAAAAAAATACAATATATAAACAAATTTACATAATATATATACTTTAGCCACTCACAAAAAGTCAATAATTCAACACAAAATATGAATTTTTATATTACCGACACGATTCCCTATTCCAAAAATAGAGTGTGAACTAACCCTTGTTTACAAATAAGGTGATATAGTTTTCTCAATTATTAGATGGGCACTTAATATGTAATAATTTTCAATTGATAAAAAATGATAAGCGATTTTGTGCTTATCAGTCATTCTCCTCATGGGCTGGACTCCAAAGAGTAACATTAGATGGTATTTGTTTGCCCTAATTACAATAAATGCATGGAACATCACTTAGATTTCGCAATCTTAGTCCATCTAATAAATGGGTCTGATTTTGACAAAAATTGTGTCACTCCAGAATCTTGATTTCTAGCCTCCCTTTTCCTCACATCATAACAGGATTCATCAACACATTTTGCTGACAGAAACTTTTAGAATTGTAAATTTTTATCAGACTTGGTATGAACTCCAGGCTATATACACAATTTCATACGTTAAGCCAATAAACAAAATATATATGTGGTCATGCTATTCATGAAAAACAGGATAAAGATGGAAAATTCGCTCTTATTGAAAAATTTATAGACCTAAGACAATTATTTTGTTGGTGTTATATTGACGCTCATTTTTGGTCTATACTATTCTGTTGACATAAACTATTCTATCCTGGGATGCTTATTTAATGTATTATGTTCCCTTTGAAAATTCTAAGTTTAAAAAATCTTGATTTCAAGCAGGTTCTTGATCTTCTCATCAAAAAATTGGAAAACGAGTCAAGCTTACATCGTAGGGTGGACTTGTTCTTTCTGGTTGACTCAATAACTCAGTGCTCTAGCGGTCAGCGAGGTAGAGACAGATAAACACTACATTGTAAATAATGGAATGCTTCACTCAACCCCAACCCCAAAACACTGCAAGTAATCATTGCATAAAATTAGGCACTCATGTAACTACTTGTTAAACTTTCTTAGGGATTGTAGGGGCTTCTTATATTCCAATTGTTCAAGCAGCTTTACCTCGTCTCATCAGAGCTGCTGCTCCTGCTGATACAACTGCCCTGGAAAACCGTCGTCAGTGTCACAAGGTGACTGTACTTGATAAAAGTGAATTGTTAGATTTCATTCTAAATTGCTGAGTTAATTTTCGTAGGTTTTACGCCTGTGGCTTGAGAGGAAAATATTACCAGAATCCATTCTCCGTCGTTACATGGATGACCTGGGAGTAGTAAATGAGAATCCATCCGCAGGGTTTTCATCAAGACGCCCTCTGAGAAATGAGCGTGCCTTTGATGATCCTATCAGAGAAATGGAAGGCATGGTTGTTGACGAATACGGAAGGTTTAGAACTTGTGATTACCACACATTTCTATTTCTAGTTTCATCCTGCTATATTACATATATTCTTGGTTTATATTTTGTACTTCCAATATCTCTTGCACCACCACCTGATTTGTTTTTGAAAAAAAAAGATGGAAACTTACATAGAAAAACCATGGATTGGCATATCTGATTCTTTCCATTAAGGGAAGTAGATTACAATTAGTCACTCTGCAAAATCCAGATTGATAGCTCTTCTCTACTCGTTGCTCCACATTTAGCAATTACATATGCCATATGTTTTTAATTCTAGGCATATGTTGAATGACAAATTTCTCATTTCTGTTTCCTCTATTTCTATTTTATGTGTGTCATTTGTGTTAATGTTGCTTTGAAAAATGAATGTATATTTCACTAATTTTATAAAATTTATGTCACGTCCCCTGCATGACCAATATGAATGAAGTAAATTTAACTGGAGTTTGCTTTCATATTGTGTTTCATATCGCAACTTGTATCCCTGCTGGATTTCCATGATTCCATTAACCTCTTGTGCATGTATCCTTATTTTGCTTTTCTCTTTGTTTGGTTTTGAATTGATTTCAGCAATGCTACATTCAAGTTGCATGAACTGCTGTCAGCTCATTCGTTTCAAGAAGATGAGGTGTATGAGAATGATGATCCGTGCAAAGTTGATGATGATGCATCACCCACAAAACATTCCCCTGTTAGGAGCACACATTTGGAGAACTACACTGTTACACCAAATGATCAGCGTCACTGCATTTTAAAGCATGTTGATGGTGAACTTGAAATGGAAGATCTTTCTGGGCATCCAATGGATGAAAGATCTTTGCTATCCAATTCCAGTTTTGAGTTGGCTTTACATGAGCCAAAATCAGATATCGCCCTTGACTCATCAAACATATCTGCTGGTTGGTTGTCTTCACCAGAGGGATCTCCACCACTGCCACCTGGATCTTGTCCTGTTACTCCTCCACTACCCAGCTCACCACCTCCACCATCACCATCACTACAACCCCTTCCTCCACCTCCTTCATTTCCTCTGGGGCAACCTTCATTACAGCAGCAGTCATTTTCTCAACCACCTGCTTGCCCACCTAAACTTGTTCATCCACCACTGGCAGCTGGATTGCCTCCCCCTCCACCACCACGAGTTGGACTGCCTCCGCCACCACCAGCTGGACTGCCTGCACCACCACCAGCTGGATTGCCTCCTCCACCACGAGTCGGATTGGCTTCTCCACCTGTTGCTCAACCAGTGGTCGCAACTCATCTTCCATCTGCCGGTCCTCCATCACTGCTTACCCAGCAGTCAGTTCAATTTCAGCCTCCAGTTATGTCCCAACACATGGCTCCACTTCCATCTGCAGTATCACATTCACCCCAGTCGGCTTATCAACGCCGTCCTTTGCTGCACGATGCTGGTGGCACACCCTCTGTATGTCTTCTGCCTTCTCACCCTGATGTTTTATTCTATGTATTTATTCATCAATTAATATGAGGATTGTATAATATTTTATTATCAGGGAAATCAACACACCCATGTGTTCTCCAATGCTCATGGGTCCCATTTTGATGGAATTGTCAGAACTGATGTGCAGTCGAAACAGGCACCCTGTGTTCCTCCTCCTAGGGTCAATGCTCCACAAGACTATGTTTCCTATAATTCATCAAGGCATGGAGAATATGGGCAGAGTGGTGCATATATGAATCCACATGCTCCGCAACATCAACAACAACTTCTACCTGCTGGTGCCCATTTGGCACAAAGGCCTGTGCTTTCTGAACTTCCACCTCAAGGCCCACCTAGTCATTTCTCCTATAAAAACTCAATCCAGCGGCATCAATATTCTCTTTGCTCAACACCAAACTCTTCTGAGGATTCAGGGAGATACGGGATGGGTAAATGTTGGAGAACGCAAGCAAATGAACTGAATGCAGATTACCCTTGCAGTGGATGGGTGCAACAAGGGAGATCATGTTTGGGTCAACCTTATCCGTATGAAGGTATCTATTATTAATAATGACTTATCAACTATATATGATGATCATCTGTGTACTAACCCAACTTTTTCTCAACTATCCTTTCACCTTCTCTTTGCATTTTGTATTCAAACCAGAATATACTATTTAACATGTTTATGTGGTAGGAGACAAATATGTTACACAACTATATTATGAGAGAGCAGCTATACAATACTAAAGTTGGGGGAAAAACGCTGTAGTTACTACAATTTGTGTCATCATTTATAGATATATGTATGCATGCTTAGTTGCTTACTTGCAGATGGAGAATGTATTGTTGAACTGTAGATATAAAGAAGAATTAGCCAAAGACTATCTTTTCTCCCTTGTCTCAGAAAGTCATTTGTCTAAAGCAAAAATTCAAAGTATCAATATCATATGGTCATGCGTGAATGCAATCTGTGGGACAAAGTCAACTACAGTTTGTTGCTGAACTACTTTTACATGCTTTCCCTGTGTACAAAAGGCTGTATTATATGCATGCGTGAAGATTATCTTTATGGCTCTTTCAGATCTGATCTTGGTAATTTTACATACAGATTATCTAATATTTTCACATGATTTGATTTGTAATCTCTTTCATCCTCCCTCTGTTTTTCAGGTTATAGGTAATTTTGCGAGTACAATCAGTAAAATGCGCAACAGAATATCAATTTAGATCACAATGGAATCAAATTGGTGGGAACTAATGGGGACACTCTTCAGGACTGTACTAGAAAATTGATAATGCATTTCCCGGACACTTGTTTGTGAGTGTAAGTCTCTGTTTTGCTCGTTAGACAGAGATTTGTGAATGGGCTACATATCCCGTCCTCTAAACTTTGTGGATGATATACTTTCATCAGTCTTCTCTTTTTCCAGTGATTTCCAATCTTTTGTGCCTCTCCTTTTGAAATGATGCGGCTTGTCTTTTATATGCACTCCTGCATTCCCTGTTGTTTGACAGAATTACTTCCTATTTTTTATTTTCGTCCTTGGTGGTTAATACTTCCTCCGTCCCTTTTCTAATGTCCTAAGTGATATTTACACGTTCTTTTAGGTAATTAGTTTTTTTATTGTAAATTGATAAAATAGCCCTTTATTTTGTGTATAGATATAAAAAAAATAAATAAAGTAAAGGTAAAAAGGTAAATTCTATGTATAAAAATAGAAAGAAGACAATCATTTTTGAACGTTCCAAATAGGAAAGTAGATCATTAGTTTGTGGACGGAGGGAGTATGAATTTACAAATTTGAAGTTCATAGCTGTTTTTTCAGTTACACTTATGCTTCTCTTTCATCTTCATTTCGTTCTTGTTATGTACCTTTGAGAAACATGGTTGTCTTTTTGCTCCTTTTCTTATTGTTTATTTATTTTATATTCACATTTCTTTTCTATTGTTGTGTAATTTTTCTTCAATCATCATACAATGTGCCTGCGCCTTCTCCTCATTCCGGATCCTTCATTTAATTGAGAAAATTTCTTTTTCAGCATCTTCTATTTCTATTTCTTGGTTAGCGCCAATAATATCTGCTTTCTCCACTCTCATAGGATAGGAGAATGCCTAACTAGTTTTACTTTCGAGAAGCCTTTTGTTATGGTTTGAGCTTTAGAGGTTAACCTTGGAACAGAAATAAAATAATTTGATGGCTGCCATACAGATGTTTCTACGTTCATTTGGTATGTTTTGGTTTTGGTATTTTGTGAACATTTTCAGTTTGACAGAATATATATATTTATTGAGCATTTATAATAACAGGTCCGTTACCTGAACTGGACCTGTGTCAAATTAATTGTACGAATGTTTGTCACAGTGCATTCCCTGTTGAAGTGTAAATGATTGAACACTGTATGCGCTTGATTTCTCTCTGCAAAAACTCAAATATTGTCTATCGATTCACAGTTGGATAGTTATGCTTGAGCAGTTTTATTGACCAGGGAAACCTCTCCTTTTTCAGATCCTGTTTCCTGGAATTTCACTGGAAGCTGGCTAGCTTGACAGAGCGACCCTCAACGGAAGAACTGGATTACAATGGTACACCAAACTGCACCTTTTGTTGAGTACATGTTCTTTCATCCTACTGTGGTTAGTCTGTGTGCTTTCTTTACGAAAATGAAATCAAAGATTACCTGGAATAGCAATGGCCCTTTGTTATGGACAATCCTAAAATGCTTTCTCATGGTAAACTGCATTTTGTTTTTCAAACAGTTCCCTTTTTAAATACCTTAAGGCACATTTGCACTGGGACCTCTTTTGGACACTTCCCCGACATGGAAGATTTTGATGCATATTGTGAAATTATAAATTAGAAAAGATCATTACATAAGTAGTGCCTTTTCTTTCTTTTCTTTGGCCAGATATTCCAAATCTGAGTAATTTGTTTCGTTATTAGAATTCGAGTTGGTAGTGAAAGTAGTTTTTTGAATTTTGAGTTGATTGAGTATAGTAGTAGGTATCTGACCTAATTACAATAGGTGTATGACAGATAATAGTTTTTAATGTAATATTTAAAATGAAAATAAGTTTTGAATTGAAGATTATTTTTAATCAAGAGTGGAAATACAAATTTAAAAACATGAGCAAACAATGTAGTTTATTGAAAGGTGGTTGTATTTTCTTAAAATAAAAATATTCCATGTGTGCAGAGGAATGGTCTGTTGAAAACACAACTAGTTTTGTGATATTTTAACAATTTGAAGTGATAAAATGTTAAAATTATCAAATAATTTAGTACTTCGGCCGTTCAATTTTGTGCTCAACCCCTTTGTAAAATACAAAGAAAATGAGTACATAATTTGATGACCCAAGTAGGGAGTATGTCATATGAGAACTTCAATATATCAATTTTAAAATTATATGCAAACGGATCTTGGGACCAGCGCCAAATTTGCTGCTTTAGTTTACTAGAAATTAAATCAGTCGTGGGTAGCTTTTGAATCGATTTGTAATAATGCTTTCCGCGTCAAGTGAAATATATAAAGGGTGTTTGGTCCTAAAAGCTACAAGCTAATATAAGTTGCTGTGAAAATTATTTTTATCAATTTTTGTCTTATTAATTTGTTTTTTATTCTATTAATTTCAGTTTTATAGTAGCTAGTTTACAAAGATTGAATACAATTGTGACTGTGTTGGATAACTAAAAAAATCACTATGTTTCGCACACAACATACGTGTTCATGTCAGTGTTTGATTATGTTCACGATCATGACCATATTCATTATCATGCTTTTAATATGAACATGTTTTAGATTATATTCATTGTCATTTTTTTCTTTGTTCACTTTATTGGATATATATATATATATTTAAATAATTTTTTTTTACAATTATTTAAAAATATAATAAAATAATAAATTTAATATTTTATTACAATGATTCAAAAATAACTATAGCAATAATAAATTAACATATATTTTTAATAATCATGATTATATATAATTCTTAATTTTTATAGTAAAAATTTAAGAAAAATAATTTTAGTTTATTATTTTAAAAAAATAAAAAATAAAAATAATCTTAATTTATAATAATTCATAATCTATAATATTTATATTTCATAATTCATAATAATTATAATTTATAATATTTATAATTCATAATAATTTTAATCTATAATATTTATATTATAAATTATGAAGTATTATATATAAAAAAATATTTTATATTTTCATTTTTAATATTATATATTAGATTATTTTTAAATTTTTTATTATAAATTTTGATTATTAACTTAAAATATACTCTATCAGTCCGTCATATTTATCTATTTGGGCTCGACGTGGGAATTAAAAAATAAATATTTATTGAAAAAGTTAAAATACAAAGATAATTATAGGATATTTTGAAAATTTAATTAGTAATTAAAAAGAATTGAGAGAATGTAATAAATTTAGTGACATTTGTGTAAATAAGGTAATAATTAAATATTAATTTTTTTATTGTTTCAAATATAGTAATAGAGTAAATTTAATGGACAGACTAAAAAGAAAATAAAGAATAAATTTGACGAACGAAAATAATATTAATTTATATTTATGTTTAAATTATTTTTTAAAATATTGATTTCGGTTATTCTTTATATTTTTAAGTAATTGTAAGAGATATTTTTTTATTGAATGATAAATATATATCAAGTAATTTTGAAAAAAAATAAACATGACAGTGAATATGATATACAACATGTATATTAAGAGCATATTTGTGAACATGGATATGAATATGATTGTATTTCGAACATGGGCAGAAATACGACCGTATTCAAAACATGACCGTGAACATAGACATGAACACGGACATGCTCAAAATGGGATAATGAAGATGGTCGTATTAACTATCTATGGAGCTTAACCACCTTTCCGAATCATCCAACACAACCAACCGTATTCAATCCGTGTCAACTACTATAAGACTAAAATTGATTATTTTTAGTTTGAATGATGTCAAAATTGATAATAATAATAATAATAATAATAATAATAATAATAATAATAATAATAAAATCAATAGAAATATAGAATATAACAAAAACATAATTTTTGCTCTATACGTTGATATAAGTTGATAATTTTTGTTTTGAGTTGATTCATGAAAAAAATGTATATATTGTTGAAATAAGAATCCTAATCAATCCATTAAATTTATCTCAGCTATGGAGATATTACATTCTTCTATATTTAATAATGCAACCTCAAATTTCGGAGATATCACATTTTTTACTATTTTAAGAATATAATGTTCATGTTGAACTCCAAAGATTTCTCCACCCCTCTCAAGAGTTCGCTCAAAATTATAGGTTATCGCAAGCTGAGTCTTATATCATCTATAACGTCCCAACTTGCTGGCCACACAAGTTGACTATGTTAGGACCGTAGATTAGTATTACAAATCAAAACAAATTCTTTTTGTGTGCGCTTTGTCTTCACTCATGTACATTTTGGATTTCGAAAATACTCTTGAAAATGAATGCACATATTGTTGATATGAGAAGTTTAATAGACGCATCTAATATATTTAACACTTTATATATATACCTTATTGTACATATGACTGACTACCTGATAAAATTGTTATGCTCTTAGAGTTTGAACGTTGCACGTAGATTGTTTTGTTATATGAGATTGTATTAAATTGTAAAATAATGAATTTCTTGTGTCTAAAAATGTCAATTTCCTTGGATTTATATTATTGGTCGACCAAAGTTTTTGACCGATTTAGGAATCTACCCTGTACTTTTTCTACTTACAAAATTTGTTCATTTATATATATATATATATTTATTTGTATTTATATCCATATGATTTTATTTTAAAATTAAATTAAAAATATTAATATGGATATTATTTTATTGAAAATATTGTTTTATAATATAAAAAATATATTTAATTTTAAAAGATATTTTTTATAAAAAAGATAATAATTTTATAGCACAGTTACAATATCTTGAAATGATGGTATATAGTTGGCCGACGCCCGCCCTCCCACTTCAATTCCTCTCCAGCCAAGGTCAGACCTGATGTGCGCATCACTCTTTCTCCTACGCAAGGTTAATCGACTAATTTACACATTAGGTTAGCCGATGCCCTCTTCATTGAAAGTTCACTGACGTTTCCACCCAATGTTGGCCTACTCCAACCAAGGTTCACCGATGTCCCCACCCAAGGTTGGCCGATGGCTATGCGCGCATCCCTCTCAAGGTTGGCCGACGCTCAATGGGTCTCTTCTTCTCCGAATTTCGTAATATGTCAAAAATTCTTCACCCATGAAATCGATCTCCTTTCTCTTCTCTTATGGCCAAGATTGACCAATTCTTGATGCCCACATCCCTCTCCGGCCAAGATTGGCCGATTCCTGATGCTTGTATCCTTCTCTAGCTAAGATTGGCCAATTCCTGATGTACACATCCATTTGCAACAAAGATTGGCCGATTCCTGTATGGTGGTTGTTGTGTTAGACTATAATATATATATATATTGTTATATGCTATGCTATAGCATCGTGTATATAGCGATATTATCCCTTAATTGTTGTTCTATCTAATTGAGACTCAAAATATATGTACGAATTTGTGGCAATGTGATCATCAATAGGTGTGGTTTCAATAGTGAAGGAATTATTGTTGTTGCTAAGCGATTTTTGGCACAACATGGTAAAAGGAAATTAGAAATATCAAGCACCTCTTTGTCCGTTAGAGATGAGATTTCACAAGAAGGGAAAACTTGTCCTGAGATTCCTAAGGTTAATTTTGGAAATAATAAGACAAATGAAGATGTTGTAGAAGATTATGTACTAGGAGTCCATACATTATCGCAATATGCTGACTACTTGGTACGTGATCGATATATTTCCTCTCAATAATCCAATATTCTTGCAAAACACAATCACACCTACAAGCATGTAAGTTGGCTCACAATATTGTGCCATTTGAGTTCAAATTATTTAGGTTCAAGGTGCCCGCAATGGGGTGAGGAAGGACCCTTCCTCAATTTTGCTCATGAAGATTGCTTCATGCTTGTCCAAACAAGATCTTGAAGATATTGTAGCTATATGCACCTAATAATGTGATCGAAATTTTAATTTTGCTCTTTAATTTGCCCTCTAGGTTGCTCTTGGAGTAGTTGGATTATTGGTATGTTTCTCCTCACCTCTTGTAGTATTCTTCTATGGGATAGTCATGTCATTTCCATTGTTTGATAATTTTGATATATATTCATGATGCCTTGAGTTTTGTAAGGAGCCTTAGGCCTATTCTCATATTTCCACGCAACATATATTACGAATATACTTTTTTATTTTTATATTTATATTTATATTGATGTTCTAATATAATTTCAATTATCTTCATCCAGTGATGCATGATGAAATATATTTTATAATTTGTAGTAATCAACATTTTATATAGGTGTGTTTGCTCGTGGGATTTGACATTTAATTTTACTAACTTTTTTTTTCTAAAAAACAAAATCAAATTAAACAATTATATTTTATTTTTTAATACGCTAAAATTAAATTTTATATTCAAAATATTACATCGATACATATTTATATCACATCAAACAACTATTTCAATTCAAAATATTACTATTTAAAACTAAAATTCAAAACCAAAATTTTACGAGTAAAAACACCCTAATGTTTTGAATTTGAATATGGTCATTGAGCAACAAATTTAGAGTGGTCTTTAGCCTGTACTATTTAATTTTTTTTTATTTTTTTATTTTTTTTATATTTTAACTTTGTTTTCATGTAGAATTTATTGTGCACCAATAACCCTTTAGTAGCTTGAAAATATGATTGTAGCCATATATTTCACATTCAAATTTTTACTTAACCATATATTTACAAATTTGGTTTAATCGGATAATAGCCCCCAACGAGTTATAGTATATATATATAATCCAAAAGATTTTTCTCTTTTTTCTTATTTTTTCTAAAAATAAAATTCATTTGTGTCCCACCTACTATAGTATGTTATACTATGTTCATCCTATTTTAATTATCTAATTTATTTTTATATCCGTCTCAATTTAATTGACACATTTATATTTTTAGTAAAATGTACTAAATCTACACATATTTAAAAACTATAAATCAATTTAATTAACTTAATAACATATAACATAATACATTATGAATGACTCGGTCAAAACTCATTTATTTTTATCTCTCTCCCCAATAAACAAATATTTTTATCTACATTTAAAACTTCTACTCTTTTATAAAATTAGTTTTTATCTTAATTATAAATTAATAAATATATATACATTTATATTATTTATAATTTTATTCTAATAATATTCATATTGCATCTATTTTATTGAGATATAATATTTAAACACATATTCTAAATTTATTTTAATCATATATATTAAAACTACCAATAATATATTACTCATATAAAAATATAATAAAATAATATTGTAATTCAATATTATTAACTAATTAAACTTTTTACCTTAATGGATGGAGTATTATAAAAATATTCTATTATTATATAGTAATATAAATAAATATTAATGTAATATTATAAATAAAAAACTAATACTCTCTCCGTCAGTCTCTAAGATTATATTTATTTTTTGTGTCATTGTACTTAATATTAAAAATATTTTTATATTTGTATAATTTTTTTGTACAAATGTCATTACATTAGTATTATAAGATACTAATTGAAGTATTGTTGTCATTTTCCTATATTAATATTACGTTTTGATATAATAATTAATATTTAAAAATCAATATGCAAAAAAAAAAAAAAAACTGTAGCCCTTAGAGGCGGACGTAGATAGTATATTAAAAAATAAATATATAATTTGATGTTTTCGAAAAAAAAGAAAAAAAATTGTGATATTTTGTATATGAATATTATTTTGCCATTGTATTTGAAATTTGATGTATCGATGGAATAAATTCAATTATTTTAATTATAATCATAAATGATAAAAAAAAAAATACATACAATTAAATTTAAATTAATTGTCTTACAAATATAGATACTTTTTTAATATAATCAAATTTCTAAAGAACAATTAATATATAATGTTTTCTATTTCATATTATTAATTTATATCAACCTTAAATAATAAATAAAAAATTTTAAATCCAATTTATTTATCTACCATATGATAAATATGATATATTTTAGCAATACGTATATTTTAGTAGTTTAACAACCACACTAAATATTTTTTTTTCTTAATATATATTTACTAACATGTACTGTATAGATATATCAAATGATTTATAATATTTTGTCCGTCCAATAAAATTATGCTTTTTTATTTAAGTACATAAATTAAGAAATAATATCATTTTAATATACAAGTGAGGTAAATAAAAAATAAAATAAAAATACCACAAAAGATTTAGTAAAGAATTGGTAAAAATATAATAGGATAAGTAAAAGTATATAATGATAAAATTATTATTATATGTTAAATAAAGATAATAAAATTATAAATAATCTTTTCCTTATAAATGAATTATAGTCAAATTTAAATTTAATAGTTTTAAGAGAAAACAAAATTACATATTATCAAACTGCATAATTAGGGGTTTTGTCTAATTCGAATATGTTTTAACTACGACGGTATCAAAATTTGTCAACAATACTTTTTCTAAAAAAATGTTTTATCAAAAATTTATTTTTGTTACAAAATATCATATAAAATATTTAATTTTTAATTACTTTAAAAAAAATTCTAAATTTTCAAAACAAAAAAAATATAGAAAAAGTCAAATCTTATCTAAACATAGTAAAATATTCTATAATCTAAGTTGCATGAGTATTATTTAAATGTAGTGCGAAAACAATGTCATTAAAATATTTAGGCTTTAGTGTTTTTTTAAAAAAAGAAAATTAAAATTAATAAAAAATTAAATATTTGATTCAATGTTTATGAGATAAAATTAATATATGATATTTTTTTAAAAGTGAAAAATGATTAATGTTGTAAAATTTTTAAGAAAATATGTATAGGAATATAATAGCTTTAATATAGTGTAATGGAATGCATGGAAATGGAAACTAATCTATACTAATGATTTAATATAGTAATAAAGATTTCATTTATTTATACTATGGGCTGCAAAAATAAGTAGGCTCAAAAAATTAGATGCACTAAAAAATCGTGTTTGAGTTTTAAAAATAAACTAAAAAATTTTCGAGTTATTCTTGGCCCGGTGCACACTAATGAACTAAGTTGTGGCCGGACTCATGAAATTCGGGTCGTCCTTAGCCCGACTCAATTTTTAAAATTAATATTAAAAATTACAACATGACTTCACGGTATTATTCTAAATTCATTGAAATCTAAAATAATAAACAAAATAATTTATTCTTTTTTTAAAAAGACAGGCAAATCGAGGCGTGGTCGGCCAACCTTTTCAAACTCATTTACAAATCGGACCGTACTGACGGGTGGGGAGAGAGAGAGTAGTTTTAGTTTTAAGGAACCTCCCTCCCTCTCTCCCTCCAAATCCGTCAAAACCAATTTTTCATAACAAGAAATATCCATGAATTTCCGTCTCTCCTTTTCTCTATTGCTTTCCTCCTTCAATGGAGAATAATAATTGGTTCCATAATGGCGCCTCCGACGGCCGCTTTTTTCCTTTGGTACGATCGGCGGCATCTTCGTCACCGTCCAGATCCGCCGGCGACAATAATTGCATACACCACACTGTTTCCAAATTCGACACGCTCCCCGGAATCGCCATCAAATACGGCGTCCAGGTATCCATCTCTCTCCACGCACACACTCGAACAAATTAAATCGGAGCCTCACGCCTGATTAATTTGGTTTTTTGTGGCTTCGATTGTGCATCGACGACACAACATTTAATTTGTTGATTTCTTTGAATTAATTATAATTAGTCGACGATGATGCAAGTAGAGTAATGTTCTTGCGTGCTTATTGATTGATTCATTTCCGGCCAGAAAAGCTCTGTTATACATTTGGAATGGTGATTTTGAAATATTTGGATGGGATCAGGTGTCTGATATAAAGAGATTGAATGGATTGACGGCGGATTTCCAAATGTTTGCCCTGAAAACGCTCCAGATTCCGTCCGGCGGATGTCCGCCTTCCCCTGACTCCTCCTGCAATGTCCACACCACTCCCCAAAGGTATGCATGCTTATTTTTTAAAATTCAACCAATGCTTATAATCATATAAAATATTATCTTCCAATCATTTTTATACACACAAATAGCTCTTTCATACTTTATTATGTGCTTAGTTTACTATTGCCTCAGTGTTTATTTAATTTTGGCCCACTTTATTACTAGTATAACTTTAATACTCTCTTCCTATTTAGTTTGCTTCGAATGAATAAATATTAGTATTTTAGTATTAAAGTAAAATTTGTAAAAAATAAATTAAGAATATAAGAAAAATTTTACTAAAGAATGAGTAAAAATATGATTTTATAAATATAAAAAAATATAGACAAATTAATTATTATTTATAACACTCTGACCGGCTCAAATCGAAGTGTCACCGCTATGCCATACCGAAAAGTTCGTTCATCAACCAACTAGTCATACGTTGTGGCGCTAAGGCTAAAATAATAAATACAAACAACTAAATAGGGATTTAGAATTAAAGCGCTTATCAATTAAGTAAGTAAAATTCGAGTAAAAAACATAAATCGGAAATAGTTCAAAAAACATTAGTCTTTAAACATAATTAATGAATTTCAAAAGCATTTTAGAAGATAAAATAGTTATAGTTCCCCCGATGGATCATATGACGTGGATGCATCATTTAGGTATAACAGAAACATCATCACTTACAAAAAGATTGTAAGAAGATGGTCAATACAACGGTTGAGTAAGCGCAATGAATCGAAGATAAATTAATACGGTATAATGCTGCAAAAACGAGTCTTTTAGCGTCTTCCTTATATCTCATTTTCATTCTCAAATAATGGTGATTAGCACATCAAGAAGAAAACTCCACTACGCCTTAATTAGGGCCGGCTCGACCCGGTTTTTCAACTTTATTACTTCGTATGACACGTCACATAGTTACACATAACAAGCATAGGGTCACAACCCTCAAGGAAAGCTCAACAATGTGTGTCTAAGGGTTCGAAGCTCAAAGTACACGTAAGTCAATTTATTTATTAGTTTGCGAGGAGCGCCAAACAGCCCACAACCCTCTAGTCTCCAATATAACATACCAATAGGGGATTGTACGCAATCCATCCCTCAATCACATATGATGGTCTAAAGACCTTTTCATCGTCAATGACGGGCACCTCGGAATCACCCAAAAAGGAAACATGCCATCTCGATCCCTCGGCCTAGCCATTTGGATTCTAGTTCGAGGTTAGCTAATTATCCTAAAATGCCGGTATATCCTCATGTGTTTGCAAGGAACAAAGGTGGAAGGTTATGCCTTATCATCCAAACAATCAACGAGTTGATCGGACTCGACGGGTAGTTTTAATTACCAATTTGACCCAATACTCAACATCCTATTAGAAAAATTTAAAAGAGAGCTTTAAACCCAAATCGTTCCAATTGTCAATATTTAACCAAGCAAAAAGTAGAATATTAAAACTCAACAAATTCGTTATACTCTCACTTTATTTCGCCGAATAAACATTCGAATAATATGTCCATTCTAACAGGTATAAATCTTTTCCCCAAAAAATAACCATAACTAGATTAGGACAAAACTAGAGTTTCAAACCCATTCTACAAATTCTACGATTTTCAATTTAAAATACTATAATAATCTTCACATAAACCCTATGAGACATTATAATCAACTTTCTAGAAGAAATTGACAAAATCTAACACATTTAGGGCAAATCAATTTGAATTAATTATGAAAATTATCAACATAAGAGTCTTAAGGATGATAACATATCATCTATCTTAGATTAATCCCACTAGAAAAATTCAAGAGGAGAAGAGTTTTGGAGAAGAAGAATTCCAAGGGGTGCTGGGCGGTGTGCCTGTCTGCGGCCTCTCTATTTTTTTTTTTTTTTTTTAATTTTAAATATAAAAGACTTGAGTCTTTATTATTTATTTTACTCTACTTGCCCAAAATGGCTTAAAACTTAATTTTACTCCTAATTTTAACCAAATTTTTACACTAAAAGTATAAAATAAATTAAGTCCAAAATAAAATTTGTCTGACTCCGGCAAGTCCAGGCAAACTTCCGGTGATTATTTTTACGGGGTATTATATTATTTATTAAAATAGAATAATAAAATGACGAATGAATAAAAGGTTAGTTCTTATAGGGTGTGTTTCTGTCGATGAGGTTTGGGGATTTGAGTTTAAGTTTGGATTGAATTTGAATTTTAAAATATTTTAAATTTTGTATTCATTTAGGTTTATAAATTTGGTTTGGGCTTGAATGTATTAATTTGATAGATACAAAATATAATAATATAATTATGTATTAAATGAAATTTATAAAATTGATAACGGTGTGATTTGAATATTAAGTTGTGTTAATTATAAATAAATATTTATATAATTTTTATTTATTTGTATTATATAAAATTTTATTCTACAAAATTATATAAATATTGTATATATTTTTATTAAATAATAATAATTAAAACAATAACACTAATAAGTTGTAATTTTTGCACGGTTGATATATTGTGTGTTTCTAAATATATTTTTTTAAAAAAAATATTGGAGTAATAAATATCTACCCTACTTATAGCTTTGCAAAAGTTGCTGCGGACTTAGAGGAGTATTTAATTGAGATTTTAATGGATTTTTTTGAATTTTAAAAAGTCTACGGATTTATGTGGATTTAGAAAATCTACAGAGTTTACTTTGAATTTGAATGGATTTTAGTAATTGATTTAGATGGATTTTTACGGATTTGATTGAATTCTTTATGGATTTATATGGATTTTGTAGGATTGTAAAATAATTTTTTTTTTATGAATATATATTAATTATATAAATTTATATCAAACAAATTTTTTTATAAATATAATAAATAATTATTAAATAAAATAATATTTAATATTAATAAATAATATATAAGTATTAATAATGTAGAAGTATTGTAACATCTGTAATACTACTATATTCTAAATTATTAATTTTAATTTTATAATTTTAGTATTATATTATCATTCAATATATCAAATTAGTTTTATATTTCTTTATTAGTTATTATTTTTATTATTGATATAGCCTTTTTACATAAAAAAATAAATACGTATATAAATAAAATAAAAAATATAATTTACGATTTTTGAAAAAATATTAAAATAAATAAATAAATATATATTAACGGTTCAACAAAAAATATATATTTAAATATCTATTTTACTGTTATCGTAATGATAATATAGTGTATTCGATAATTGAAAAGAAAATGAGACAGTAATACATATTTATTGTGATAATAATATTTTTTAAAATTATATTTATAATATAAAAATATATATTTTAAAAAAATTCATAATAATTTGCTAATATATTATAGTTTTAAATTATTATTTTTATTAAAAATTATAATAATATTAATAAATATTATCATATTATTGATCACATATACAATAATAATAATAATAATAATAATAATAATAATAATAATAATTTTAAGAATCCATCAAAATTTGTGATGATTAGTAGAGATTCTTTCCTATATAAAATTTTCACAATTTTTCATTAAAATCCATGCATTGTTGAATATCTTAAAATTTTAAAAGACTTTTAAAAGTCTACATTGAATATCTCAAAATTTTAAAAGACTTTTAAAAGTCTAGATTAAATACCTCTGTATTTTAAAAAACTTTTAAAAATCTTGATTGAATACACCCAAATTTTAAAAGTTCAATAAAATCCTACAAAATCTCTATTATATTTAACTTAAAAAATATATTTATTCAAAAATACCAAATGAACAAATAAAATATTATTTACTATAAATAAAATATAACAATAGCGGATAGAAAAAATACAATGGGTTTGTTCTTTTTTATTTTTACCCTAGCATATTTTTCAAAAAATATTAATATATTACACATATTTATTATTTTTATATTCCCTACATAATTCTCTATACCTTATGTAAAAACTATATCTTCAAACTATTTTCACAAAACAAGCACATCCATAATTTTAATGGATGGGGAGAACAAGGGATTAAATTTGCCCAAACGATTCAAACCGCTGATTACAGTTACAAATCGTCGGTTACAATTTGTCAAAATTTTAAACCGAAATTGAACTTTTCGAATGACGGTTTCGGTTACTGTTTATTAACCGTCGATTATGGTGAACTGCCGGTTTATATATATATATATATTCATTTTTTATATTTTTCTTTCTATTTTTTATTTTTTAATTTATTTAAATTTAAATTTTATTTAACAAGGGTTATTTTTAATTTTTAATTTTATTTAGATATTTATTTATTGTGTGATAATTTATTAGATTATTACAGTATAAAAACAATAAATTTAGTAAATAATTAAATTAAATTTTAAATTAAATAAATAAAAATAAATTACAAAAATATTGATGTATCATATAATAAAATAAAATAAATTAAATATAATTATATAATAAAAATTATAAAATTTAAAATATAAATATATTATTAATAATTATTTAATTTATTTTTATTAATGTTAATATTATTTTATTTTATTTTTATAAAAATTCAATAATATATAAAAAATTAACTATAAATATATTATTATTATAATAATAAAATACATTTTGCCCTTCTCTCAATTTTTCTTCTTCTTCACTTCAAATACCCTCTCCACTTCGTCCACTTCGCCCGGTGCGGTAAGATTCAAAAAATAAAAGAAAAAAAATAGTTAATTATCGATCGCTGGTTCAAACAGTAAACTGGTCATTTGAACCAGTGGTTCACAATTTGACAAAATCACAAATTGAAGTTGAACTGTCGGAATGACGGTTCGATTTAATTAGTGTTCGGTTCCGGTTTGAACTGTAGTCGGCGGTTCGAAAATTGACAAATTGGCGGTTCCAAATCGAATGGGCAAGTCTACAAGGGATTGACTTGAGTGTGGTTTTTTTTTTTTTATCATTTTCTTTTTCAGATTTCTATTATTTATATAAAAAAAATTTCTAAAAATATTATATTGAATATCTATTTTTATTTTTTATATTATATTAAAAAAATTAATTTTGCATTCAAAATATTATATTAATATTTATTGATATCACATCGTACAATTATTCAAATTCAAATTCATAATTTTTACTATTCAAATTACTAAATATCCAAATCCCAAACAAACACAAAGTGTAATATGTAGTGTTGGTCATAATCAACACATATGAATCAAGTAATAATAATAATAATATATGTTAATGATTTGCTTGATATTTAATTTGCACAACAAATGCATGGTAGTGTAATAATCACACAACACATACTGAGTTCATTTAAGTTGGACACAAAGAATAACTAATGTATTTATTAAAGCTAATCAGCATCTACATCTTGGCAGTGTTTAAATATTTTATAAATTATTTTTAAAATAGGAAAAAAAATGAAAAATACGAAAATTTAAAATATCCCAAAGTAAAAAAAGATTGGGTATAGTTAGAGCATTATAGTAAGTTTATCTTACTCAATATCACTTTTTTTTTCTTTTTTTTTTATTTTTAATTTTAGTAAAAGTAACAATAACTAATACCAAAATATTTTAATTTTTAGTTAAATTACATACATATCATTACACATGCAAATTTTTAAACAAAAATCAAAACGAAAAAATGATCAAAATTTTTTATACATTTTCATTGACCAGTAAAATACTATTATTTATTAATCTACTAGAAAATCCCAAAATGATGCTTTCATTCGGGACGGAAGAAGCATATAATTAGATAATGAATTTATAGTTTTCATAAAATTACTTCAAAAAATATTCAAATATATTGGCTGTGTTCACTTTATGTTTTTTTTTAATGTATGTGTTTTTTTCATGTTATACACGAATAATTTAAATTATTACGAGTAAATAATATATACTTCCTCCGTCCATTTTCTATTATCGTAGAGTATATTTACACGGTTTTTTAGGTGATTGTCTTTCTGTTATGAATGGACAAATTTGCCCTTAAGTGTATGGTAGAGATTAAAAGTAATAAATGAATGAAGGGTAAAAATGTAAAATTTGTGTTTAAAAAAGAAAATAGGACAATAGTTGTTGGACGTCCCAAATAAGAAAGTAGGACATTAGTTTGCGGACGGATGGAGTATTATATTATATTATTTTATATTATTTTAATAATATTTATAGAAAATCGAATCATCAAACACCATTATACTTGTCGTAATTGTTAAAAGTCATTTTTTTTTAAGTCTTTTACTGTTTTAGTGAATATGTTGCATAAAAAGTATTGACAATTTTTTAGTAACTATAGAAAAAGAAGAGAAATTTAAAATTAATGTGGGAATACATTTATTATTTATGGTAGTAGAAGAATTGATTTAAAACATACAATACAAAATACTAGTAAAATGGGACTGAGGAATAGAGTTTATTCACCTTGTGTTTTTAGACTAAATATGGATAATTACGTCGGTAAAAAAAAATAAAAAAAGGTGTCGTCAAAATTAGCATTGTGCTAATTTTGATCAATTTAGTAAACTAATTTGAAGTAATTAGTAAATCATCACAAAATATGCAGTATATTACCAAGTTAGCAAATAAACTCGAAACAATTAGTTAATCATTACAAGACACTTAGCATATGCTGCATTATATGAAACATGTATTGTGTGATTTATATTTATGTAGAAATCAACATAGATTATACTACATGCAATTATATTATATACTATGCTATATATTGTATGAGTTATATTATGTTGTACTGTATAATATGCAATTGTACTATAGTGCTAAAATAAGAATATATTGTGCTGAAATCATAATTATATTTTATTACATATAATAATATAATTTGCTATTAAAATATTTGCTATATAATATATTAATGTGTTACTTTATTTATAATTATGTGCTGAAAAAAAAATTATATTTTGCTATTAAAATATTTGTTATATATAATATTAATATGTGTTACTTTATTTATAAATATTTATTGATTGGATCAAAACAACACCAAATTGATTTGACAAAAACTAATATTTTACATGCCGATTCAAATAAATTATTATTTATAGATATATAGTGTAATAAAGTAGTATAATGTTCATTTTACCATTGACATTAAACTAAAACTAATGTGAAAAAATAAAAATAGAGATAAATTGATATTTAGTTAGTCGAAAGTTACTTTTTTTTCAAAAAAGAAAATGATAAGTTTTATTAAAATGATAAAATAAAAAGTTTACTATAACCATATGAAATAATTTAATAATATTTATAGAGATTTGTTTGAATAATATATTCAACAAAGGTGGTTGTGTTTGTTCTCGGCATGGAAAGTTTTAGAATTAAGGTAGTAGTAATATCCTTTTTTTAATATAATAAAAATATTTTATATATAAATATTTTTATTTTTACACAAATAAAAAATATCATTACTATTTGTAAGAACAAAATTATAAAATAATCTTACACAAAATAATATTATTTTTTAATCCATTAAAAAATAAATAACCCGTTTAAAATGGGAGGAGGAAATAATTAATTTGGCGCATGATGTAGTGATTCTATCTATAAATACTAATAAATAATGGAATATAAAATTAATTTGGCAGTAATTCTGTAAATAATAAATAATGGGATATCATAATTGGTTGCAGGAGGAGAAGCTTGGATGTGTATTACGAAAAAAATAGTGATTTCTTGCATTCATTTCACTCACTCAAATTAAAACCATCTTCTTCTTCTTCTTCGCCATATCCGCCGCTCCCGCAAACCCATTGCGGTTTCAGACAGCCCCCCTCCACCGCCACCGCCGGAGAAGGCTTCCAGATGGCTACATACCGTGTCGATGGCCACGTGGAGGCCGGGGACGGGCAGCCGTACACAAACCCGCCGCTGGCACACCACCGGAGATCCAAAAGCATAGCCAGCGGCCTTATGTTGTCGGGGAACAACCACCTCGATCCACCGTCGCAAGAGGCGGAGATCGGCAGCGGAGGCGGCTCCGACAGGCTGGTCCGCCGGCGCCAGAAATCCGTGCCTGATTTTTCGTGCTACCCGCCACCGGAGAAGGTTCAGAAGGAGGCTCCCGCTCCCGGAACTGTTTCGGCGGTCGCGGGCAAACGGGTAGCTCTCAGGTCGAAGTCAAGCAGCGGCCGGGCAGACGGCGAATGGGGGGGCGGGCAGATGATTCCGGCGGCGGATGGGTTCCCAAATGACATCGGCGTGCGGAATTGTGATGGTGGGTCGCTGTCGTCGATATTTCCGGCGTCGGTGTGGAGTTTGAAGCAGGACTTTCAGGCGATCTCGTCACCCATTTTTGACGGCCTGCAGCAGAAGCCCGCCGGGAGAAGGAATAAGGCTGCCATTGATTAAATATTTATATACATACATAAGTACATATACATGCACGTGTTTTGTTAGTTATTTTTATCTATAAATTGAAATATGTCAATAATATATATACTTCTGTTGAATTTAAAACAAAATTGATCAAGTATGACGCATCAAATTCATTGGATATGTCGTTCTTGTTGACTGTTGTAATTCAAAAATCCTTGTAGCATAATAGTTTATATTATTAAAATGCTCTGAAAATATTATATAATTAGACCAAACCCAACGGTATATTATTAAAAAAAACTCTAAAACACACGTGTCCACGCAAAACTTTTTCAAGGCTCTTGTGGTGACATTATGGGTTTAAATCTTCAAATTTTTAGGTTTTGTCTACCATATACGGTTCGTCTAGCATGATTTGCCTTGTCGGAACTAGTTAATAAGCTATTAGGGTTTGCAGGAGGTTCACCCAAAGCGCACTCGAGTAGCTGCGGATTTCCACGTTATTAGAAAAAGAAAAAATAAAAAAAATCTCCCCCCATTTGGAAAATAAATCACAAGCCATATAGTGACTTGTTTTTTCGAATCAACAATCGCTTTCACGATCTTTCAGACGAACAAATCTCTTGTACTGAAAAATTGAAATTCGACGACGACAGGGGTCTCAACTCAAATTTGGGCATGATTGTTTTCTATTTTTCAGCCACTCTTTTATTTGTCCTCTCACCGGTAGTCGATTTAAAACTTTATTTTGTCTTTCAGGTTGGAAATTCTTAGGTTTGTTCTCCAACAATTTCTAGGTGAGATTGAGGTCCAAATGAGAGGACTATTGAGAGAATCGATTGGCTTAAATAATTTCTTTCAAGTATTATTGTCAATTTTATCGGAAGTTGCTATTAGAATTATTTTCCATTAAGTTTAAAATTCTTGTGAGGGGAACTTATTTTTCTTCTAAATTTTGAGTTTGTCACTTGAATAATGTTTTGGCTTTCTTTGTTTTGGTTTGGTTTATTATGGACAAAATTAACACTTGAAGTTGTTGTTGGTTGATATTGTCAATAACTTTTTCTAGGTTTTTAGATTCACATGGATCTGACGATTAAATTTTATTTTTCTACAAAAATTGGGAGTTTTGTATGATTTATTGTGGAAAATTCGTATTTTGGTTTACAATCTAGAAAACTAAGCTAATTTGCAAGCCCAAGAGTCTAAAGAAATTTGATAGAAAATTGATATCAATAATTCATATGGGAAATTAATATTTTGTATTGGGTTTTTCTAATACCTAAAGAACTTTTAGACAAAATAAGTATTGTAATGAACTTTTTTTTAGTTTTAAAGTTGCGCTATTTTTAGTACATTGCTAGTTTAATCTTATTTCATACTTATTTATGTTAGTGAAAATTATATATACCGTTTGATGACTCCAAATATAATCATATTTTTAGCTTGACAAAACTGCGTATTACTTGAATTTATGTATAAAAACCATCACAATAACTAGTTAATGGCATACTTTATTAATCTATATCGCTTGGCATGATCCAGAGTTTGTTTGTTGAGATTACTAACGATTTTTGCCCTTTTAAGCGGTGTTTTGGTGCCAGAAAAGTTAAGGCAGATGCCACAAGCGACAGCCACCTCCGCTCGCAAGGGGCGATTACACCACCCAGAAAACTAAGGCAAGAGAGGCAAGCGATAGCTTCCCCCGCTCACAAGCGGCAGTCTCTCCCGCTCGCAAGCGACGGCCCAAACACCCACCGCTGTAGAGTGACAGCAACCCAACTCAAATATTGACTAAGAGTTCCAACTGCAGCAGTACAACCATTCCATTACTAGCCAGCACAAGCAAGCCCGCCTAGCTGCGCTGATGCCCTCCAATCATCCGAAAAACGAGGAAAATCTAAGCCCTTACAAATCCATACAAGCAGAGCGAGCACACTAGGAGTTATGGCCAGCAACTGCCTCAACAGAATAACCGTCATCAACTGCCTAACTACCTAGCGGTTAAAACCACCTTATAACTACTTGTAACCGCTACTTCTACCTAATATAAATAGAGCCAGATCTGTATGTAGATATACTTCGAATGGAGTATATTAGCGATTAACTTTTTGTGCATTCTAACTGTCTTCCTGTTCTCAGAGAGCTCCAACCCTGTAAGGGACTCCACATGAATGGCCAAGGGAGTGGGGATTCCCCTTCTCCCTTGGCCAATACTTTACTGCTTATGTAGTGTAGTTTATTGCTTTCATTTACAGTTTTGTAGAATTAGCAATTCCAGCTTTATTAGTAATGAAATATCATTTAGTTCTTTATCTCTATCTCTTTCACATCTATTTCACACTTATATAAACCCTGATTTTAAGGGATTTTACTTCACTGGTTTAGAGCACAAGAAGAATTGATTATCCAAGCCTTGTCTTTTTCCACAAGCATTTTCAAGGTAGTTCAATGTAGTTAAGTACGCCGGAGCCTTGTCGACCTGCTTAACTACTGTTTAAAATTCAATTTTGATTAAAAAGAGGTAACAAAAGGGTAAAACCACTAATGAGGCAAAATTTGGGATAATTAATGGGGCATAGGCGGTGGTCTATTAGGTCACATAAATTCCTAGTGACAGTAGGGTTTCTTTCTTATAATATTCCGATTCTGGGTGTCATTGAAGTCTTGTTGTAAATCCCTTAAGGTCAGATACCAGTTATAAGAATTCTCTATAATTTGGTTTATATATTTACATCATCTCCTTCTCCCGCTTTCGTATTATACATATATGTCCATTTAAACACCATCACCACTCGCTCATTTCATCCAAGAAAATCTAGCCATTAAGTAACGCAAAAGTCAAACACAACACCTCTCATTCACTCTCCACCGCTTATATATATATACATATATATTTTGCCATCCGCTCATGTCCCGTTCGCTCGACCATCACTGGCACTCCACCGCTCCGCTCGCCTCCGCTCACTTTACCGCTTTTACTTACCACTTTCTGTAGAGTAAAAACTTGAATCTGCTGCAAAACGGGTCCTTATACTGCATTTCCTGCCGCTTTTACAAGATCTACATTTGATTTGAAATTCATGACTTAAAATCCCTGTGTTCGACCTGGAAACTCACCAATAAAAGAGTATAAATAATTGTGATAACTACTCAGGGTCTACAACCACAACATTTTTTTCTATATCTGACCGCTTTCTATAGTCATTCACACCTCAACTTTCGAATATAAAATTCCCTGTGAATATATATACAAATTACAATTACAAATTTTAGTTATCATAATTTGGCGCCGTAGCCTGGGATTTTAAACTCATGAAAATTATTCCTGTTAAGATCTTTTGAAGCGCCATAATTTACCTTTTAATTTTTGTAATTTTGCTTTCTACTAACTTTGGTTCTAACTTGTTATTTTGGTGTGGCTATATTTATGTAGGGGTCCAAAGCGTTTTCATCATTCCACAAGTCTCGGTCTTTCCGCTCGTTCACAGAGATGTCTGTTCAGAGAGCTAGCCAAAGAAAGAATCATGGCCAACCAAGGAAACGCTACTGCTCCTTCTACTGTCGTCCCAACTTTCCAGACTTCCGCTGGGACTTCCTCGAATTCTGCTACATCCGCATCTTCGCATGAGGTGTCGCTCCATATCCCCACTGTTTTTCCAACTATCGTTCCCCACACGCTGACGCCAACCGAGGAACAGCTCATGAGAGCCCTCGGCAGCATCCAACAGGGAATGGCTGGGGTACAGGCGCACCTCGCTCAGGTGGAGAAAGCCCAAGATGCCAAGGAGCATTCATCGTTTCCCAAGCGGCTCAAGCTGCCAACGCCGCTGCGACTCCTGCCGTCATCACTCCCCCACCTACTGCTAAGCCTAACCAGAGGCCTGAGGGATACAGGGCTACTGATCACCTGCTTGCTGAAGTCCCCATGGACGCTATCAGTCCCTCCTGGATAACACACTGATTACATGTTCTGCACCCAGAGGCTCTGGCCATTACGAGGTGAAACCAGCGCTTGTTAGCCTGGTGAGCCAGAGTCAATTTTATGGGCTGCTCAATGAAAGCCCATACGAGCATCTTCAGAACTTCAACATGATCGCTTCCACCTACCTCCAAATCGCACGGCATTACGGAGGATGCTGCGAAGTTAATTTTGTTTCCGTTTTCTTTAACAGAAGAAGCCAGAAAATGGTTTGATAACCTCTATCCCATTTCTGTCACCTTCAAGAAAGCAGCGTAGGCCTTCGTGAGTAAATATCATCCTATGTCAAAAACCATTCGTCAGAGGAATGAAATACTGAGTTTCAAGATGGTGAATGACGAGACCCTTCCTAGAGTCTGGAGCCGCTACAAACAATTGTTCTGTAACTGCCCTCATCATGAAATTCCGGACTTCATGGAGCTGCAGATTTTCTACTCAGGAATCACGCCCGAACTGAGGATGTCCTTAGATGTAGTGGCAGGAAGCTCGCTGATGGGGCGTTGTGCCTCAGAAGCGAGGGCTTTAATCGAAAGGATGGCGGCCAATCAGACTAGTTGGCCAGAAACCAACAGGCCTGAGCCATCGAGGGGTCTATACCAGGTTCCTGCTTCAGTTTCTCATGATGCACGTATTGACAGCCTGTTTGTCCAAGTCAAAGAGCTGTCTAAGCTCGTGAAGCAGGACTTGCATAGTAAAGGGAAGCAGGCAATGCACGAGGCCGCGGAAATTGAGGAATGCACTTATACAGACCAGCAAAGCCCGCAGGTTGCTGAGTGCTCATCCGAAGAGGCTCAAAACCCAGCGGAGGTCTTCTATATGGCTGGTAGAAATGCCTCTCAATTCCAGCAGTACAAAAAAGGGCATGTTCAAGGCCCCGCTGGACTGCGTCTTCAGCAACAATTTCAACGGCCACAACAGTTCGCTGCACAACAATATCACCAAGGGAGATTCTATCCACAACAACAGTACTTTCAAACCCCCCACTTTCAGCAGCAGGCACCTGTTTTTGCCCAACCTCCCACAGTGGCTCAAGCTCCGCTGATTCTGGAGGAACTCTGGAGGAACAAAGAGCGCGCAAATCAGGAGTTCCAACGAAATACGTCTGCCTTGATCAAAATGCTGGAAATCTAGGTCGGGAAGATAGCTAAAGCTATGAAA